CCCGAGAAACACCCACACCCCCCCCCCCCCAAAAAAAAAAAAAAAGCCAATCACAACAAAATCACTTGTTTCAAATACGTAAACCTGCTATTATAAGTGGAAACAACACGCTCACATTTGCCATGTTCTTTCTCCAGCTCCTTTGATAACCTAGATCTTAACAGTGTTCTGGCATCTGAGAGTATTTTCTAGGCATCTTTGGATCTCATCTCACATGCCAACATTAACGTGACGAGATGTTCCTGCACACTACCAGGAGGCCAGCACATGCCGTGCAGCAGAACCCCAGTGCCAGACACAGAGCTAAGAAAAGGGAATCCTTTAGGAACAGCTCATGCACAGACTGTACAATACAATATATTTAAAATACAAACTAGCATCTCTCAGATGCTAGTTTCTAACTCATGATCTTTCTTGCCCCTGACATCTCTGTGCACATTAATTGGGAAACATGGTCAGTGCCTTTCATCTGCAGACAGATGTCCCCAGGGTGCTCACATCAGCAGAACCCCTGAAGGCACTGGAAGACACAAACACCTCTCTTTTACCTGTAACAAGTGAGCAAGTAAGCATGCTGGCTTGCTATTTTTAAGAAACCGGTCTTTAAACACGTTGGTATTTATTAGGGAGAAATCTTGGCCAAGATTCTGAGTTAACTCACTGCACTAATCCAAGGTAGAACAGCCTTGGGACTGCCAGACTGCCACTGCACGGTGCTCCAGTCTGTCACAACCTGGCATGATCTGTCCCTTGCTCCCAGCTGGCTACAGAATATGTTCCCTGCCATGGAAAAATAGTTGAGACAGTGATCCCCTTAAAACTTAGGAATCCTGAGCAAAGTTCCCTTGATGCTCCTGGGACAGGAAAGAGGCCAGTCTGAAAGTAGCCTTGATGCTTGGTGACAGCCTGATACTACAGGAGAGGTCACAGAAACAGAGAGTATGAGACAGCAAGGAAGGAATAGAACCTCTCATTCCTCAGCTGGTCCACCCACCAAAATACCTCTCTTCTCACCAGGTTTGCCTCTGGCTTTTGTGAAGACATTTAAGCAACATCAGAGGAAGCACTTTGCAAAGTCAGAAAGACAAGGCTGGTCAAGATCGGCTGGTGGAGAAAGACTCCAAGGCTTCCACAGGAGATGCCATTCCCCAGCTACAAGAGCACATTGTGGCAGAGAGTCTGCACTGTCCCCTAACTCCTGTCCTCATGCAGTCAAGGTCTAGAGAAAACAAAACCGCCCAGCTCTTCCCAGTATGTTTTCTCCTCCTCCTGTAACACCTCAGGGCTATCCAACGTGGTTCATAGAGCATGCTGCGACAAAGGCGTTATACCCAAGTCCTACTTGCCTTTGCTGAGGGCCCATGGTACCGCCCTGTCAGCATAGACAGGCATCAAGAAAGGGAGGGATTGCTGCATCTGTCTGCAATGTGCCCAGACGGGCCATCTGGCACTGGGATTGATTTAGTGAGAGCAAGACTCACCTAAGCATCTAGAGAACACAGCTGTGATAAGGGAGCTCTGAAAAGAAGGCAGGAACCAAGCTGGCTTCAGTCATGCAGTAACATAGCTTATCCTACTGGCTTCTCTCCCAAGAGCTAGAGGGCACCATGCCATGGACAAGATCACAAGGACACAATGAAAATATCCATAGAGAAATATGAGGTTCTCTGGCACTGCATTTACACTCCCTCTGCCACTCTTGAGACAACAAGCAATGTTAATAACAAGACTATTTTTTCCAGATGCCAGAGCAATAATCTACCAAGGAGGCAAAGATCTGGCCTTCTTTTATTATATCTATGAAAAATTGCAACAGAACTTGATTTGACACTGACAAATCAGAAGGGCTCTGCTCCCCACTCCCTATAACTGGACTAGGAGGCAAAGGGTAATAGTGAGGTGACAAGTTTGGGAAGGGCTTGTGTCCTACACATCACTTCAGACTCACATAAGAGCTGAGATTGGGTTGCGAGAAGTGAAGAGATGCAGCTCAGTGCAGCCAGAAACACAAGTAGCCTGCCTCTGCAGCCCCAATGCTGGCAGCAGCTTGGGAAAAAAGGGTATGTGGGTTGTGTGGACAGAAATGCCAGGTAATGAGCACTACTTAAGACTCACAGCTGTACTAGACTCCATAAGAGGTAGCAATAGGAATCCTTTCTGAGACTGCTCTAATTAATGCATAGGCCCAGCAGTTTCTAAGGATACATACTAGAGCTCTGTACCTTTTACAATGTCTATAGACTGGGATCCTGGACTCAAAAGCACACTGAGATTCTAGTTCTGGTGCTTGTTATGATAGTGACAGTCCAGAATAACCTGGGTTAAGAAGAACTAGCTGAGGAAACAGGGCCACTGGGAAGGACAAAGACAACCTGATACAGAGCTGTGCTGACTTCAGGCACAAGATGCTTGACTCCTTGCAGGGAGGGTTGGACTAGATGACCTTTAAAGGTCCCTTCCCACCCAAACTATTCTATGATTCCATGATTCAGCAGCTTGGAACATCCAGCCACAGCATAGGCATCTTGCAAACAGCACAGGACCCAGCAGCACCATTCTCACCAAACCCAAGAGTGCAAGGAGGATGCTAAAGGACACCACACTAGCACATCAGAGTGAAGGTGGCTTTTTGAATGCGTGACCTTATATCTAGAGGAACAATGACAGAAACAAGCACAACAATGATATAGGGAGCCAGAGAGAGAAAAGTTCAGGCTATACCTGTCCTTAACCTCCTAAGTGACATATACATTCTTACTACCTGCTGCCTTCAGTTTCCCAAGTTCAGAGAAAGGGATGAGAGTAGTTACTGTGGAACACCTTGAAAACCCTTGCAAAGACAGACAGCATTTAAATACTATTGTTTTATTTAGGCTGCTGTCTTTGCAAAGTGCATTCACAAGTCAAAAGAAAAAAATATTCTGGTAAATATAAGCTTTTTTTTTTTTCTCAATTCTTACACACTTTAGGAGCTCAACCTAGGGAAACCACGGAAACATTCCCTGGTTTCCAGTAGTGATAAACATGAACCACATGCCCAAATATTGAGGAGTCTTTGTCCTTCTCAGACAACAATTTACAAAAATAGGTAATATGTGTGCTTGTACCTATGCGCATTCTCCCTGGTGAGATTCACAGCAGCCTTCTCTTTATCCATGGCTATCACCCGGCTCTGGGACAGAAAAAACAACAGCAAACAAATATTACAACATCAAGGTTCCCAAGCAGACGTGCTCTGCCAAAAAGGACATGCAAGATAAGACACTGTTCACTCTTGGCTCCTAAAAGGAATAGCTCATGAAGAATGCATCTCACAGCACTGACAGGATCACGAGTCACTTCTAGTAAGGCCACTAACTGACAGAAGAGACTCTGCAATGATGCCAGCAGCCTACCAAAATAGGCAGGCTTCTGACCAAGCCAACTCAGCTGACAACAATGGAATCATACTGACTCACATCACCTGACACATTCATAGCTCCTAGTAGTGTGAGACTCAACACTCTGGCTAGTCTGGGGTAGACACAGGTTAAAGGAAGATCATGTCCTAGGCTTCTCCTCTCTAATGCAGAGAGGATCCCTCCCAGCATTAACACAACCGCTCAGACAGAGGTTCTGGCATTTTCCACCTGTTATGCAGATGCCTTTTGCCTAGTTACCCCATTACAGTGCTTACACCAAATTCACTGTGTGTATTGACTGCGCGTACTTGACTGTATGTCAAGTATTTGAGACTCCTCTAGCATAACATTAAGAGATAGGACTACACAGATAAAGATTCGTTTGACCTTCCATTCCACCTTGGGAAAAGTGCAGGCAAAGGCCTGACTTGTTTTTGCTTTGCTTAATATTTTTTAACTACAGATGTTGGTAAGTATTTACATAGAGAAAGCATGCTCAAAGAAACTACTTTACACTGGGAGATGATGGTGTGATCAGCCATCATTCCAAGGGGGATTAATTTCACAGCCTGAGACTAGCACCCACACACATGAAGCTGACCCTTAAGGTGAAGGACATAGCTGAATCCATAAGTGAAAAGTTGCTGCTGTTTTCCCAACACCCTAGTGTCAAATTCTGCCCCAAACACTGAAGAGATCACACAGAGTGTAAACTCCACTTAGCTGTCAGTGTGGCTACCACTAACTCTTATCAGTCAAGGCTCCTTAATTTCTCTGGGCAGAGCAGTTTGTGTTAAGTCAGCTTGGAAAGGACTGTTATCAGTTACATGGACAGGCTGACCCAGCTCTTTAACTTAACAGGCAAGAAAAAGAGCGTGAAGTACAGCTCAGGAAATCCAGAGTAATTATACTTTGAAGTCATGAAGCTCAAGTATTAACCATATCAGGTCACTGGGAGAAGGAACACAGGCATCAACCTCTAATTCTTACACACCAAGCCTTACACTGCTACAAGAGGAGGGGCTGGCCACAGCAATTCTCATTCACGAGAAGGAACTGACTGCAATTTGGAGGAAAGGGGAACATTTTTCCCTTAACCACATGCAATGAGATCTTGGATTCACTTCTCTTTCTGCTTACCAACAGTAACTCAGTAAGCATGTTACATGCCACAACAATCAGGGACAAGAAAGGCTTTGGTCACCCAGATCTCAGTCCCCTTACTGCCCTTTTCACTCTGTTTAAAAGGTGTGGCTTGTTATTAGGGAACAAAGGACTTAAAAATAAAATGGTTTGGCAGTTGTGGCAGTGTGACATATGCTTGTCATATTGATACCAAGTACTGACACTTCTGTGGAATCCCTTCCCTGTATTCATTTAGTCTTCAGTCTCCTAGAGACAAGATCTTTCGATTCACAGCAAGGTGATTTTTAGAGATGACTGCCCCATAAATTTGACTAAACCAACACCCATCAGTGCTTCAAGCTGTGATTAATAGTGAGCTGTGACAGCTAAAGAATGAGCACATTCACTTCCTCTGCTCTGATCATGTCTTGGCTGCTCCTGCAGACAGCTGGGGAGAGCAATTCCTAAATATCCCTCTTCTACCAAGTGTGAAGTTATGGAGCCTGACTGTCAGAGACCTTAGCTGCTGAAGTCCCATCAAAGCAAAGAAGTTTGTCAGTGAAGACTAGCAGAGTGGGATTCTCCTGTAACACAGGCATCTATTGTACCATGAGCACTGAAAAAAGCTCACCTGTGGCAGTTTGGACAACAGACTCAGAGCAATTGCTCCAGAGCCACAGCCAATCTCCAGGATCACAGGATGAGGGACAGGAACTGGGAAGCAGAGGCCTGAATTCTTCTCACATTTCCGAGATTCTTCCTCCACAACTAAAGAGACAAGATCCTAACAAAAAAAAAACCACAAAAAACCAAACAAATTTCTAAGGGAGCTGTTTTGACTCACACCTTTGTGGTCTGAGGACTGGAATTTAAATTTCTTGACTCTGTAGCCAAATGAAATGTATTTTTGTTGCTTATTTTTAAAACACAGCTGGCAGCAATGGAACCAGCATGCCAGAAGTCACTTCAGCTCCATCTCCCCCACAGGGTGCTTTGATTAGTAACCAAATCCTCAGGGTATAATTTCCCACAGATCCTCTGAAATCTTCTAGCACTGTTGGGAAAAACAATAACCAAACAGCTGGAGCGCATTAGCTTCTGCAACACAATATTATTTACTCAAAAATTCCAGCTTTCAGGATTTGTAAGTTTCAAAATTTAAGATTTCTACACTTTCTCAGTATGGTAAGTAATCTGGAGGCAGATGTACAGTTCCTAACGCCATCTAAACCAATAATCCAGCTTGCACATAAAAAGCAAAAGCAATGAATTACTAAATTACCCAAATGAGCAGCTCCCTGTGTGGATTTCAGATTATGGATGCCTCCATTTTGTTGTTATCAAGTCACACAGAAAAGATTTTCATCCATGCTCCTGGATCTCTATGATCACAGCTTCCTCCCTCCCATCAATCTCCTCTTTTTTTAAATCCCTTCACAATTTCATATAAAATCCAACACAGCATGAGAGGTCTCAAAGATATACAGTTTTAAGATTTGTGAAAATGAGTGACTGGCTACAAGAGAAAGCACACATGTGCCTCCCCCCAGACTGCAGCATGAACTTCCCTTGCTATTCACTGAAGAAAACTACAAGACAGAAACCTTATAAACACCAGTACAGAAACAAGGCCTTACTGCCCAAAGTGCTGCCCACAATGGCTAGGCTATTTCACTTGAGAGGTCTCCTCTTGGATCTCTCCTGTAAATCCAGAAAGCTTAACAAAATTTACAATAGATAATTGGCTTGATTTTGCCAACAGTTAAAAATAAAAGACATTACCAAGAAAATTACTGGCTTTCCATTTTTAAAAAGAATCTTATATGTTCCTGGCATAAGCAGGAATATTTAAAAGCAACATGTCCTGGAAGGCAGGTCAGCTTCTCTTTAGTAAAGCAATGGCCTTTTTCAGGAGCCTAAACTTGGTATGCTGGTACATAAAGGCCTAAGCCCTTCCTGGATATATCACCCTAACTGGAGTGCAGTGTAATAGATGCCTTGTGCAAAGCTGTAGTTTTTATGAAGATATTTGTTGCTGTTGGTCATCCTTCATGCTAGGCCAATATGTATCTGCAGTAAGTAGGGAGGGAGGATACAAACAGGTATAAAAATGAAGCATAAGGGTAGATGAGATTCAGTGAAACATCCTCAGCAGCAGAGCACCTGAGACACGGGCTGTTTTGGCAGACAGCATTTTCTAAGGTTTCCCACAAGACACGAACTACTTTTGAACATATTAAAGTACTGTGCCCCTGCATGCAAGCACACACCCAGTGCGTGGAGAAGTGAAGCTTGCACTACTTCACAGCCTGGGATGGAGAAACAGGCATATTTCAACATTGTCCAGGCCTTGCAAAGCCAGGCAGCTTCGAACTGCTCCAGTTTAATACAATCCTTTGCCTGTTGATTCCTCCCACTGAAAGAGCCTGGAAGCATAAGTAAAAAGGAAAGTTTTGGGTTATTTGAATGTGTAAACACTCCATATTTTTTACTAGTAACATTACTTCTTCAGAAGAGTGGAGGGCACTCTTCTGAGAGGCCTCTCTCTGAGGTGTGTCTTCACTGCAAAGCTCAGTTTGGTGACTGATTCCTCAGCCAGGTGTGACGAGCCACACTGCAATGCCCTACCCTGGTTACCGTGTTGTTACTGGCATTGCAGTCATAAGGGAGTTTTGCTAACAGCCTCCAGAATGACATATTCCTTCTGTTGCTTTGGGATTCCCTTCCTAGATGATTATGGAGGAAAACACTCTTACAGGCTCCCAACAGGACTGTGGGAAACCATTAGAGGACTACCAGCACTCAGATAACAACAGGGAAAAATAAGCACCTTATCTACCCACTTTTGTGGGAAAATGGCTTTTGTCTTTCAGCTAACAGCTCCAGATGAATCAGTGTGAAAACACTTCTGCAATGGAGACAGCCAGAGATTGTAAATGCAGCTGGTTTGGGGAAGCAGGTGCTGATGATTCCAAGACCACAGAAGAGCCACCCAAAAAGTTCTCCTCGGCCATTAAATAACTCTTAAATACCAGCCATTTCTGGTCACTTACAAATATTTCCAGGAAATCTCTGCAGTAACCCAGAAGAGTCCCCTGTCTCCAGGGCTGATCACAGAGTAGCTTAAGTTACTGATTTCAAAAGTCCAAATGTAACTTCCATATAACAGTACTACTGTCAGCATTTATTAACTTCCTTAAGGTTTATCATTAGTAATTTCAAGCTTGAAGTTTTTAATGGAACTTCTATTTTACACATTCCACAGTGAAAGTATTTTCAGAGTGCTTGCCAAAGTTCCTATTTAAATATGACTGATTTCAGTTCTTACCACATGGATATTAAAAAAGGGGCGATGGTATTACTTGGACTTTGTATTCTACTTCCTGACTCCCTTGCCTCATTGTCTTGGTTATTTCATATACTTCTTACTGATACAAAGGCTAGTTCTCTCATAATATACATTTATCACAGTAGTTCAAAATTAAAAGATATTAAAAATAGCGTGACAACCTAAAGAAACTACATCCTTTTCCAGACATTAGTATCTCACTACAATCAGCAAGTTCAACAATTATGAAAATAAATTATTTTATGAAATAAATTTGCAAGCAAAACAGAAGGTATATTCTAACTGGCAGATTAGGAAAATAATTACTAGTACAGATTATTCAATGTCGAATTAAATTTGTAATTATGTATATAATAAAAGCAAGAAGTAAAGACAAAACAGAATGCACTGGAATAAAGACATTTTGTAATTCTGCATTTGTAATTCCACACCATACAACGTCACGCTCAGCATATAAAGCTGGGGGAGGAAGGGGGAGACACGTTTGGAGCGATGGCATTTGTCTTCCCAAGTAACTGTTATGAGTTATGCATTTGCTTGCGTATACCCGCATCATCTCAGATCGAACAGATTCAGAGCACACACCTGTTAATATAATGCAATCATTGCTAAAAGCCATCTTAACCGTCAGTTTGATCACCAGCTCTAAAGGTTGAGAGATGAAATTATAATTAACTTTTGGAATACGTTAGGTTAATTCTCCACAATCTGGCACTTAAACTGAAGTGGCAGGCCATTCAAAAGGGTTTATTTTCACTCACATAATTTACAGGATTCAATACAGAGAGAGAAGTGTCCTTCACTACAGAAAAATGCTATTTTGGATAAAACAAGACTTGACAATCAATGTGTCTTTATTATAGTCTCTAAAAACAGGAAAAGCAGTTGGCTCGCTCAGGTGCCTTATCCCTGCAACGTGCTGAGCACTTCAGCACCTTTAACACATGTATCCTCACAACTCCCATTTTCCAGATGAGCAACTGTAAAAGTGACCATCCTAAACTCACGGAGGAGGACTACAGCAGAGCAGAGCATTGAACCCGATGCTCCAGAAACCTCAACCACACCTTTCCAACTGACACCACTTTACATCGGGGAAACGGGTCCCCCAAACTCCAGCTAGGAATAGGCAGGTCTACAGTTGCGTGAGGGCAACTGACCTCCTGCAGAAAAGCAGAAAGCACAAAGATCAGAACCAGATTCCGACATCATCTAAACAAACAGTGCTTGGCTGCTCTTGAATCATCTTTTTGTTTTTACTGTTGTAGATAAAAACTTTAAATACAGAAAAATAAATAATCCAAAGTGCTATATTAAGGAGCAAGTAAAATCATAAATTCAAAAAGTATCTTAGAAATGTGACCCGATTCCACAGTTACCTATAGCATGCTAACCAATGGATAGGATGAGTGCTCAACTGTGGAGTTATTAAAATTCAAATTATTGCTTACAGCATGCATCATTATTGTCAGTAACAACACAGCCTGCACTACAATCCTGCTAACCAGTGCTGCAAGTACTAGCAGAACTACTTTTATCCTGGAGCCTGGTGTACATGTATGTGGGTATAAGTGTGATATTTGTGTCAGAGTGGGGAAATAGAACATTTTTAATATCTTCTCTCCCCTAGTCTGTGTGAGGAGCTCCTTCCCCCACCAAAAGCCACTTCTGGAAGGAGTGGAGGGACTGAATGGCAAACAGACAAAAACAGAGAGAAACTAAAATCCTCTCACCGCTTTTGCTAGCAATAGCATGAAGGTGAAAGGGAAGGAGGGGCCCAGACATGGCTTGTCCAGGCAGCCCCACAACTCAGACCTGTTGACATCTGCTTGCAGGGGGAGATTGCACATTTCATTCAATAGATGTGTGTACAGAGATGTTCAAGCAGCACAGCAGAAGAGCTAGAAGTCACACAGAAAGGTGAGCTCGGTAGCCACCACTGTCCCTCGGAGCACATCTTATGTATGGCTAAAACTGCCCCACAGCTGTCCTCTCTCCCACAGCTTGCAGGATTGCCATGAGCCTTTCCAGGGCACACCAGCAATGTCAGTGTGCTCCAGGGCCTTTTTGTCATCTGTTACAGGCAGACAGCACAACAGTCAGGGCAGGCTTAGGGATGAGGCCAGCTCACAGCTCTGCAGAGTTACTAGCGTGACTAAATCCCAATCTCTCTGCATGCTGTGAACTCCCCTTGCACAGCAATAACCAACGAACTTCCCCTTCTCCCCTATTTTACAGGATTTTGTGCAAATAAATATTCAAGATGAAGTCAAGAGCACCAGCCACCTCTGAAACCTGTGGATTCATGAGCTAAGTGCAAAGCAAAGTATCTGGAAGAGTTTTTACATTGCACTGGGCTAGAGACGATGCAGGTAGAAAGTGATGCCTACATTCTGTTGCTTAGCACAAAACAGAGTGGGGAAAATGTATCTAGA